TATATATATATATATATATATATATATATATATATATATATATATCTTCAAAAGATTTGAAATTTGAATAAAATGGAGAAAAAGGGAATGAAGTTTGTCTATTCCACGACAATATCATTTTCCACACCTTTATGTAAGTCAATGACAAGTACATATCCGGTAATACCCTAATTACCCAATTAATTTTTTTTATTTCAATGCAACCAATAATTTTTAAATATGGGGGGTGTAAAGTGCAATTAGACAAAGTTATAGTAATTTATACACTGTTTGATTTAATTAAGGGTAAAAATAAAATTTTCAATAAATTAATGATCATAATTCATAAGGGTTTGAATGTTAGAACTTTGATTGATCAAATAGAGAAAAATGTAATAAATTCAGATTTAATTATTTATTTGTTAGGTGGACCAAATAGCCAAATAGTACCAAGTTTCGTGGACTAAATTATAAATCTTTTTGAATTGTAGGACAGATGAGAGAAATTTGGACCTCGGTAAGGAGTGAGAAAGTAATGAGCCAAAAGTCAAGGCTACCCAGGAAGATGCTTTTCGAATATTCCCTCGAAACAGAAATACCATGGGCCCCACAATTCCTCAGCGATTTTCCAGATGGCTTTTATGCATAAATTCCGGCCCCACCTCACACCACGTGAAACTCACGTGCCCGCTGGTGCTGACGTAGACATTTGGTTGATATTTGGCTGTACTAATTTATTATAAAAAAAAAAAGGATCAACTAATTTGGTGACGTGTCGTTGACTGGTTGGGTGATGGGTGTGTACGTACGAGGAAAAAAGAAATTGCCAGTAGTCAAAAAATATCCTTGTCGGCGTCTGATAATTATCCACTTTGAGAAACTGTATCGTCAAATAAGGCCCCGTAAGCCTTTTATTTACGCTTATGCCACTATCATTTCTTGATTTTATATGTCCCGAACATTTTATATTATTTCTAACATCCAAATTTTGAGATAAATCCTCATATAATTGTTTATTAATTTTGATATCAATTTCATTTTGTCCACATTTTTTGGTACAGAAATGCTGATTGTAGCGGGACTTTTACTGAAATTGGCTTATTTGCAGCGGTAGTCTCATTTGTCAATTTTCTAACTTTCTAAAAAAACCGAAACTCTCTCAACTAAAAAAAGTCGAAAACTTAGAATTTGAAGCTCGTTCGACAAATTCAAAAACGAACAACAACTTCTTCGATGGGTAATCCGGATAACTTTTATATGGTAAAAAAAAAAAAAAAAAAAAAAAAAAAAAAAAAAAAAAAAAACTAAAAGTTGGTGTAATCGTGCTATACAACACGAAAAGTATCAAAAAAAAAGAAAAAAAATTGGCGTTACCCGTGCTGTAGAGCACGGGAGTACAGCACGGGAACTTGGGCATTAATTTGCAATTTCTTTTTTTTTTTTTTATTCCTTTGTATTATTAATTTTTATAATTTGGTAGGGTGATGATGGTGACTTTGACAAAAAAATTGACGATGAATGTACAACGAGTACAATAATCCGAATATTTGTTATCATGTTTCTCAAATAATTACAAAATTCGATTTTTAGAAAAAAAATATTAAGAAAAAAAAATATATTAAAACCTTAAGTTCCCGTTGGTGCAGAACACGGGAACTTGAATAATCTTCAAGTTCTTGTGTTCTGCTGACGGGAACCTCATTTTTTGGTCCTCCA